TAAGCTGAAAAACAATTAAGAGAAAACATAAATGATTGATTCAAGAGTTTGTCCAAGCAATTGGGAAATGTAAATGATAAAATGGTTCTAAGGAGGGAATAAACGAAATGAAAAGCATAACAATGCCAAATGCCGACAAATAAAAAAAGCAATTTTTATAGAGGCCAGCGAGAAGAAACAATTTAAATAGACTATTCTTACTGATTGAATAATAAGTAAAGATACAAGATGCAAGGTTGATGGCAAAACCGAAACTGCTCTAAACCATGCCTATTAATTTAAACATAGGTGCAATTTTTTTAGCAAAGTTAAGCTTCAGGATAATTCAGAAGTTCGAGAAAATACACATCACTAAAATATACAAATAATATGGCCTTGTAATGACTTTAACTACACGAGTTTAGCTACATCTCTCACGATTATCTCTCAACTCATGCAGCACCAAGGGGAGCAGGACTCATAGGCACTGTGACCCGCGGGTAATAGGCGAACCTAGTCACCGCACCGAGCTTCTTCGTTAAATCAAACAGAACATAGCATCTAAAGTACACAATAATATTTTAATTCAGAAACTCCCTAGTCCGCCACTCCTTGCGTTGTCGCTCCCCTGGTGCCGTCATTACCCTCTTTGACAGAACACTACCTCGTTGCACAAGCATCACACTTCGCCATTGTCTGCGTTTTTCCCACCTAGAAATTTTCGCCTGTAACTTTCCTTTTTATATGCAAGGCACTCCATGACCCGTTTTCTTGTTCCTCTATACAAGGCTGATGTATTCTATACGGTAGAGCGAAGCTGAGCACATATTTATAGTACATATATTAGACTCCCTAGAGCTTCATTTATGAGCACGCCTTAATTTTGAAACAAATTGAAAAGGTGACTTTGCATTTGAGCTTCATAATAATACTGAGCATAGAGGATATTATGGTTTAAAGGTAGCAAACCAGTATAGGTGAACAGGAAGTTTAGGCAAGAAAGATTACTGCTAGAACATAGATTCCACAAGATGATTCATCCTTTTGGTACGGGTGCTCTGGAGTAGGCAGAATCTGCCAGACAGGATTAGCGTGAGTCAGACCAGAGTTCATAGCTTCAGATAGTACTTTATCGCATCTTCTAAAATAAGAAAAACATGAATATAGATTGCCCGTATCGGTAAAGAAAAACTGTAAAGTCAGCAGATGTTCGGATATATCAAGGTTGAGACAGAGGCCATATAAAAATACCCCATTCCTATAACAAAATAAATTTCAGGGACAGAAGAAGCTCTATTGTTATTTGTTCTTATTGATTCATAAAAAATGACCAAGGAAATGAATTCATGAAAGGCTACAATAAAAACTGCACTGGAAATTCTTTTCATTCTATAGGCTGGACCCCGCAGATTTTCAGAGGAAAAGATTTTTCAATTAGATAGTTTTGCAATCTCAAGTATTCACAATTTTCTAATAAAAACTAGTTTTACTAGCTTGCATTCTGATTTGAAGGAGTTGAGAGTTCATACAGACAATTTAGTCATGGTAGCAATAAATGGGAGTTGATGAGAGTTTGGATCTTAATTGTATGAGTAGGAATGGATATGCTCATTTGATTCTTCCTGATAATTTAATTTATGGCTCCGTAATCGACTTATTAGGCATGCAGTATTGGGTAGATAGTGTATAAAAAAGCAACCCACTTTCATAACCAAAATAATTGTTTCAAAAAAATCATGCCCAGATGGAGAAGGAATAAAATAAATGTGCTGTTGATGAACTCACTCAAAGAGCTTCTTATACATCGTAGACCGGGCCTTTATTTCACCAGTAGAGTTAATATATACAAAATAACGATTGATCACCGAAAAGGCCTAAATTAGACAAAGGAAAAATGTTGATAAGTTTGGGGACAAATTCAAATACTCAGTATAATGAAATCTAGAGAATACAGGTTGTTGGTAACAAGTTGGTTGAAATTATTCGGAAGTGGATGTAAATAAATGTATACCTGTTTCACGCAGAGTAACTGTAGTCGATATAGGCCACACAAGGCGGTAAAGGGCGGATAGCTAGATTTTCCCCACAATAACGTTGCGAATGAATTTAACACTGCCTTGCTTCCCAAAAGGCTTTCTCATCAAGGGTGTACTCCAGTTCCGACCTCTCCAGGGCTTCATTAGCACCTTCAACGAGAATCGAATCCAGGTAGTGCGCGTAAAGTGGTGGGACATTACCACCCTACGCTGCATGACCATGAATGTAAATGTATCACAGGACAGGCGTGACTTTCAAGGAAAGCAAGACTTTTTCAAAATAGCAGTAATGTAAAGAGATAGGTGTGTGGAAATAAGGATGAAAAGCCTTGTTTCTAGTAGAAATAGAACAAGTGATGACATTTATTTATAAAACTTACTATCTTTTTCACAAGTTTGTGAAATAGTTGGAAAAACAGCTTGAGTCTCTCAGAACTAAGATGGAATTTCAGTACATGACAGCTAAAACCCTTTAGAATCCATCTGAGGGCTAAACTTTAAAAAATTATTAGATGCTTTCTCTGAACGTATTAGAGTTATTACTTTATATTCCAACACAGAACACAGTGAAAATCATTATAGCGAAATCAATTAGCCAAAGAGTACCAGAGAGTTAGAGGATAGGCATATCAGACAATCGATGTTTCTGCGCGCTAAAAGTATTAATTTTTAGTTTACTAATAAGATTCAGCACCAAGTAGATAAAGTTGTCATAAGCAGTCGACCACAACCGTAATTTAGATAAAATGTTAATGTCCCACTTTGAGAATCAATACTCCCTTTGGGAGCAATACCGACTAAAAATGGCGTAAGCGGATGTGCAATTTCCGGAATAAGAAACAAATTAGAAATTTGTACAAAGCCACATTTTAAGAATGGTTCAAAGTTAAATCAAATACTTATATTTATCGATAACAACTCTGTAAGGTTTAGGAAAACCAGCTAGCAAAATGTTTGGCACTGACAACCAATCGAGCTTTTACACTTAAATTGTTACTGGAGATGAAAAATGGGTCATAACAAAAGGCATAGATTAAACAAGTGTCAAATTATTAATTTGGAAGTTCGAGGCATCAGATGCAGTTATAAACATGTTTGAATGCTCTATTTTAAAACGCGACAAAAGAAAACAAGATAGCTAAGTTCGGAAAACAGCATTGAGATACTAGAATAAAAACTACTCTGAGTTTCGAACCCTACTTATAGCGATAAAAGAAATACTATTTTCATAGAATCTGTGTTCCATTATTTAGTTTGTAAATCAAAGAAGAAACTTTCATATGTTATTATCTTGTAATCTCTGCAACAGCGAAAGCACAAAACATGAAGCCCTCGATAATGGTCGTGACAATGAGTCAAAATAGTTACAGAAACTTTCATTTCTTATTACGGTGCATGATGAAGAGATTTGTAGGTCGATCTCACCGTAAGACGATGGCTAATTCTCACTGTACTGCAGCCGTCTGGCTTTAATACGACATTCAGGTCGGCGCAGTCCACGAGACATCCCCCTTTGTTTCGGGTCAAAACAACAGAGCTCTCGTTCGTGATATGGCGAAAATACTCAGACCTAAAACTCAGTCATGCAAAAGTATATATATATATTCGCAACGAAAAAGTATTTAGATATAGAATAGTTTGGCTAGTTCTCTTATATTCGTGCGTGTTTGCGCTAACGTCTGTACACAATACTGGCCATAACTAAGAGCAAATAGAAATAATGCTAACGTCAGCACCAAGTCATTAAGGCTTAATGAACCAAGGAAGGAGCATGACTTAGATTGCATTAGTCCATAAGTAACTCTAAATTGATAAGATGAAAGCCTGAACGCGTGAACATTAGGTTACAAAAACGCCAGTCCAAACACGTTGATCTGGGATCATTAAACTTTGATAATCTAAGGAAAGGTATGGCCAGAAGTACTTGATCTCGTATGTCTGAGCTCAACATAGCTATTGAACGAGTGTAGATTTAGAATTATCACTCAGATGACAATTTGAGTCGCCTTCTTGTAGACAGCGGCTCAACACTCTCTCTCTTATTCTTTCAATCAAGCATAAGCTATTCTTACCCATCTTTATACCACCATTCTGCACATTCAAAGTATTCTCTAATATACTAATTAAAGTAGTATCTCTTACATGAGGTAGCAATAGTCTTCTGATAAGATCGATTGACAAATCTCTTCCTAATTTACTTGTATACAAAATGAAAGCCTTCCCAATAATGCTATCTTAGGAGATTTATCGAAACCTCCTTTTATTCGTATTTATAGTTAGTTAAAATACTCCAAAGGCTATCGAATTCCTAACTTCTGCTACTACCTTGATGGTATTAATCATTCAAGAAGCATAAATTATTGTAAGGTTATCGTCATTCCAGATGCCCATAGTCAGTAGAGTAAATCAAAGCCTAGCATCATGGTGGTATGATGAAGACTATGCATCCAACTCATGTAAAAAATTAGACTATGTAATACAGAAATTAAATGAGTTTAGAAGTGGTCTGACCTTGTTTTCGCAACATGGTCGTTTTTTTCAGGGAGATCTAGCTGAATTCACCTTGTCCGAGGTCTTCTGCTACAGTAGGTATCATAATTTTCAGTGTTGGGTCGTGGACTTGATATATTCCGAGACGTTTCGTCGGCATCTTCACTCTCAGAACCAAGGTATAACTCGTTAAAGGCTGCTAAGAAAAGCAAGATTCATTGGCGATGCCTGCGAAACGTCTGGGAATGTACCAAGTCCACAATCAAACGCTGAGAATTAGGATAACTAGTATAGCAGGCGACCTCGGATAGGATGCATCCAACTAAGTCGCCCTAACAACACGACCAAGTTGCGAAAACGACGTCAGACCACTTATATACATTGAAAGGATACTGTGACCATAATAGATACTACAGCATCTTGGCCTTCATATAGAAGCTTAAGGGAGTTTAGTTTAGCTATTGGTAAACAGACAAATAACAACAGGGGATATGATCATAAGGGCCCAGACAAATGTGTGAGGGTACATTTTGAACCTACAAGCAGCACCCAGTGATTTTGTCCCATCGACTGGCCAGAAACGCTGTTTTGGGCAATCTTAGAAGAATCATGTCTATATCTCTGACCAGCTCGCTCCAGCAAGGGGGCCAGAAGCAGCTTATCTGGTAGGAGGCTACGCGAACACCGCCCACTGTTGACTCTCATATCAGATGTCTTAAACTGGTTATCAGACGACGTGGAAACAGTGCCTGATAGAAGGCTAGGGGAGCCATGAGCCTGTTCGGTAGTACATTGTATTCGAGTTCTACCCGCGGCAGCAGTCCGATTACATTCAGCCACCCAACTGCCACCAATCTCTGAGGAGATGGAAGAATGGAGTCCAAGTGATGCCAGGTCGTTCGTTTGAGCTCCCAAATTAAGGAGTTGAAGATCAGAATTTGTAAAAATAGAAGGCGAAGATGATACTGAGGAAGAGGACGAATCAAGGGATGGTTTAATGTTGCATGTTCTAGGCAAGCTTGATGAATCAGATTCTGCGAGGATGGAAGAACAGGACTCATGGAAGGCGCCTTGTGTGGGTTGTAAGCAAGCCCATTGCCGCCAAAGATTGCGGAAGCGAAGCAGTCGGTCAAGACGACTTGGCGCCCGAGCAGCAAGGAACAGACAAGAAAGGGCAAGTGAGTCTACCAATTGTACAGATTTGAAATTGTCAGTGGAACGATGAAATGGCTGCGATAGAGCAC